TTTATTTTTCTTTATTTTATTTTATTTATTTTTTATTTTATTTTATTTTATTTATTTTTTTATTTTATTTTATTTTACCTCTCACCTAGACGAGCCAAATAGGACTAAAATATACATACATACATACATACATACATATATATATACTATATATATTTAAAAATATATAAAATATATCATATTTATATATATATATATATATCATATGTATCTATCTGTATTTTCCTCAAATTCCCAATTTTCCCTCCTAAGGCTCAGACTTGGGATGTGGCTGCTCCTGGATGGACCCGGAGCGTTCCCTGGAGCCTGATCAGAACCGGAGCAGGGCGGCCGCGGGGGAGGGTCCCATGGAGCAGGAGGAGACCCCCCAGCCCCCGGGGGAGGGAATTCCCGACGTTGAGGACACAATTCCCGGTGGTGGGGACACAATCCCTGGCGTTGGGGACGGAACTCCCGGTGTTGGGGATGAAATTCCTGGTGCTGGGGACACAATCCCTGGTGTTTGGGACAAAATTCCCAGCGTTGGGGACACAATCCCTGGTGCTGGGGACACAATTCCCAGCGTTGGGGACACAATTCCCAGCGTTGAGGAAACAATCTCCAGCACTGGGGACACAATCCCTGGTGGTGGGGACACAATTCCCGGCACTGGGGACACAATTCCCAGCATTAGGGACACAGTCCCTGGTGTTGGGGACACAGTCTCCAGCACTGGGGACACAATCCCTGGTGGTGGGGACACAATTCCCGGCACTGGGGACACAATTCCCAGCATTAGGGACACAATCCCTGGCGTTGGGGACACAATCCCCAGCGTTGGGGACACAGTCCCTGGTGTGTCCCGGGACAGCCCCGCTCCATCTGGGGAAGGATCCGGGCAGCAGGAGGGGCTGTCCAGCCCTGAGGGACCCCCGGGAGGCTCCCCCGAGCAGCAGCCCCCCCTGGGCCCCCCCCCGGGCCCAGCCCCCCGGGCCCAGCCCCAATCCCGGGATGAGGATTTTTACTGTGTCAAATGGATCACCTGGAAAGGGGAGCGCACGCCCGTGGTCACCCAGAGCGAGAACGGGCCCTGCCCGCTGCTGGCCATCATCAACATCCTCCTCCTGCAGTGGAAGGCAAGTGGGGTCTGGGGGGGTCTCTGGGGAGGGTCTGGGGGGTTCTCCCCAAACCCCCAGGGGAAGGATCCCGGGGATGATCCCCACATCCCTCCTCTGGCTGCCCCCAGGTGAAGCTGCCCCCGCAGAAGGAGGTGATCACTGCCGAGGAGCTGATGGCACATCTGGGTGAGTGGGGACCCCACATCCCTGCTCTGGCACCAGGAATGGGGTGGGGGGTGCCGGGGGCTCCACTGGGACCCCCAGTGCTGGGGCTGGGGTGACCCTGCTGCCTCACAGGGAATTGCATCCTGGCCACCCAACCCCGGGACACCTCGGAGGGGCTGCAGCTCAATTTCCAACAGGTGAGGAGCGACCCCAGGACAGCCAACCCCACTGTCCGGGGAGCTCGGCCGGCTGCAGGATTTGGGGTGGCACCTTCAGGTGTGACCCCCCCCCCGTGTTTCCCCTCCCTCCCAGAACATCAGTGACACCATGACGGTCCTGCCAAAGCTCTCCACGGGGCTGGACGTCAACGTGAGGTTCACGGGGGTCTCAGATTTCGAGTACACCCCCGAGTGCATCGTCTTCGACCTCCTCAACATCCCTCTCTACCACGGCTGGCTGGTGGACCCCCAGGTGAGCCCCCCACCTGCCTGGTGGACCCCCGGGTGAGCTCCACACCTGCCTGGTGGCTTCCATGGGGCCACGGAAGTGATCCCAGGGCTGGAGAACCGTGCTGTGAGGAGCTGGGGCTCATCGTGGCCAAGCTGACCAAGCTGAGGGTGGATGTCCCATCCCTGGGACTGCTCAGGGCCAGGTCGGACGGGGCTTGGAGAAGCTGGTCTAGCAGGAGGAGCCCCTGCCTGTGGTTTGGGGGGTCTGGAGATGCCAGAAAGTCCCAACCCGAAGCCCTCTGTGATGTTTGGGATGGGGCTTTGAGCCTGAGCCAGCAGATGACTCCTCTGGCCACGGCTGGAGGTTGCTCTGGGTGGTCTCTGAACGCTGGGTCCATCCCCACCAGGAGCTCACCCCCTTCCCCTGCTGTCCCGCAGATCCCAGAGCAGGTCCAGGCCGTGGGCAAGCTCAGCTACAACCAGCTGGTGGAGAAGATCATCACCTGCAAACAGGCCAGCGACTCCAGCCTGGTGAGCGAAGGTAACGCCCTGCTCCCTCCCCGCCGTCCCCGGGGCACAGCTGGGCACCCCCAGAGCCACGGGGGTCCCGTCCCTGTCCTTGTCCCCGTCCGTGTCCCCGCAGGGCTGGTGGCCGAGCAGTTCCTGGAGGCCACGGCGTCGCAGCTGACGTTCCACGGGCTGTGCGAGCTCACGGCCCGCGCCCGCGAGGGCGAGCTCGGCGTCTTCTTCCGCAACAACCACTTCAGCACCATGATCAAGCACAAGGTGCGGCCCCGGACCCCGCTGATTCCCCCCCCAGAACGCCCAGCAGCGCTGACTGTCCCCTGTCCCTTCTCGCCAGGGCCACCTTTACCTGCTGGTGACGGACCAGGGGTTCCTGCATGAGGAGGGGGTGGTGTGGGAGAGCCTGCACAGCGTGGATGGGGACAGCTGCTTCTGTGACACCGAGTTCCACCTGAGCCACGCCCCGGGCAAGGACGGGGCCACCGCGGCCACCCCGGACCCCCGGCTGCAGCAAGTGGACCAGGTAAGGGACAAACGGTGACAGTGGGGGACACCTGAGTCCCACCCCAGCTCCACGGGGGATCCTGCAGGGTTTGGGCTCGCCGTGATGACCCCCCCACCCCGTTTGTGCTTCTCCCACCTGCCAGGATTACATGGTGGCCCTGTCCCTGCAGCAGGGGCAGGGGCAGGACCCCCCCTCCGTGCTCAGCGACCTGGAGCTGGCGCGGCAGCTGCAGCAAGAGGAGTATCAGCAGCACCATCCTCATCCTGCACCTCCTCAGCTGCTCCCAGCACAGGTAACCAGGTGCCCCCCCTCGGGGGGTGTGGGGGTCTCTGCAGGTCCCTGTCACACCCTGTCCCTGTCCCTGTCCCCACAGGCGGGCGGGCGTCCGGCCGGAGAGCGGCGGCAGCGGCAGCGGCCGGATTTGGACTGTACCCTCCTGTAGCACCGCGTGCCGTGGGGTCCCCACTCTGCATCCTCCAGGGACATCCTGTGGGATCTGGAGTGGACACACGGATGAGGGGTGACCGTCTGAGGCCACCCCAGGACCACCCCAAACTTCCCAGTGGCCTTAATACAGGGGGGTTCCACACCTCAGTCCATGCTCTGACACACGGGTGGACGCGTGGCTGGGGGGGGGACACGTGCACCCCCCTTTTCAAAATGTGGCCTTAGCCCTTGGCAAGTAAAGGACTTGTCCCCCTGCACACGGATCTGGCACCCGCTCCACGGACACGGGGGTTGGGGGAGTCGGGGGGATTTGGGGTCACGGTTCTTCTGCACCGCACGGACACGGGGGTTTGGGGAATCGGGGGGATTTGGGGGATTTGGGGTCCCCTCCGTGGGGTGCAGTAGCGCGGCGCGGCCGCCAGGGGGAGACAGTGGCGAGTGGGGTCTGCGGGGCTCCATAGGGGCACGAATGGGGCGCGCTTGGGGGGAGCCAGGGGCACACACGGGGCTGTACGGGGACACTTGGGGGGCACAGGGCCTGCAGAAGGGTGTGTAGAGAGGGACATGTAAGGGGTACACAGGGGGTGTGTGGGGGTGAGCACAGGGCACACATAGAGGTGGGTATAGGGGGTGCACAGGGCACGTCCAGGGTTTCCTATAGGGAGTGTATACGGGGTGCACAGGGCACATATAGGGTTGTGTATATGGGGTGCACAGGGCACATATAGGGCTGTTAATAGGGGGTTTATAGGGGATGCACAGGGCACATCCAGGGTTTCCTATAGGGAGTGTATATGGGGTGTACACGGCACATATAGGGCTGTGTACATGGGGTGCACAGGGCACATATAGGACTGTGTATATGGGGTGCACAGGGCACATATAGGGCTGTTAATAGGGGGTTTATAGGGGGTGCACAGGGCACATATAGGGCTGTTTATAGGGGGTTTATATGGGGTCCATAGGGGGTGCACAGGGCACATCCAGGCCTGTCTGCAGGGGCTGTATATGGGGTCCGTAGGGGTGCGCCGATCCCGGCTCGGCGATCGATTGCTCACGCCTGGGCCCGCCCCGCCCCGCCCCGCCCCTCGGCGGGCGCCGCTCCCCGCGGCGTTGCGGTGACGTCACTCCCGGGTTGCGGTGACGTCACTGCCGCCGCTGCCTGGCGCGGGGCGCGCGCGGGACGGAGGGGGCGGGCGGCGGCTCCGTGAGGGCTCCGAGCGGCGGCTCCGTGAGGGCTCCGGCGGCGGCTGCGGGTGAGTGCGGCCGGGGGGCAGCGGGGCCGCCCCGCTGCGGGAGGGGCCGCCCGGGGGAGCCCCGGGATGGTTCCCGCTCGCCCCCCCCCCCCCCCCCCCCCCCCACCGAGCCAGGGCCGCGGCCGGGCCTTTCTGCGGGCGTTGGGCGCGCACCGGAGCCATCCCGGGCCTCGATCCGCGCTCGGGCAGGGTCGGGCAGGGCCCCCCGGGGCTGCTCGGGCGGGGCCGGGCGGAGGCGGGGCCCCCCCGGGGGCCGCAGGAGGGCCCGGAGCGGCCTCGGGCCCCGCCGGGGTCGCTGCCCCCCGGCCCGGGCAGGGCGCGCAATTCCCGAGCCCGGAGCGCTCCCGGTCCCGTTTTTCCGTCCACGAGTTTTTAAAACGTCAGGATTTTGTCTGTTTCCAGCAGCACCGCTCCTAAAATCACCCCTGGGGGAGGCGTCCGGCCCGGCGGTGACCCCCGCCGGCCCCGGCTCGGTGTCCCCGGTGCCGGGACATGGCGCTGTGCTGCCGCCGCCCCGGGGGACGAGGAGCTGCCGGCCCTGACCGGGGCCTCACCCCGTTCTCCCACGCTCCCCTCCCGTTACCTGCCCGCGGCACGGCCCCGGGAGTCGGGAATTGCGGCACCTCCCTCCCGCCTGGCCTTGCGAAACCGGCCACGGTGGTTCCTCTTCCTCCCCCGGCGGAGCGGAGCCGCCCCGTGCCCTCGCCACAATCCCTGCGCCGGGCTGGGGAATCGCTCCCCGGGGCTGGGATCCCGACCGGCCCCATCCCGACCCCGCGGGGTTCCCAAAAAACGGCCGGGGAAGAGGGACCGGGAGCCGGGATGCGCTGAGCCCCGCGGCCAGGGGCGGCTCCCCCGCTTCCCCTGCCGGGGCCCGAACGGAGCCTTTTTAAGACACAAAGGTGCTCATTGTGCCGCCAGCAAATCCCTAATCCTGCGCTGGGGCCGTGCCTGGAGGGGTGGCGGTGGGATCCGTGCCTCCGTTCCCCACCGGGAATTGGGTTTGGATCAGCCGCGGGATGCGCACACAGCTCTCGGGAGGGAAACCAACGTCGGGGGCTTCTCCCTCCTCCTGCTCCTGCTCCTGCTCCTCCCGCGGCAGTGCCGGGGTTGCCATCCCCGTGTGGAGTCCGGAGGCGGGAGCTCTTCCCTCGGGCCGGTTCCAGGACCCGAGCTGGCGGTCGGAGGCAGGACTGGGGCCCCTGTTAATGATCACCCTCTGACCTCGGGGCTGCAGGGAGCAAAGTCCCTCGGTGCTGAGCCGAGCGCCGGGGATTTCGCTGGGAGCCGAGGTGGAAATTGGGGTGCCTGGTGCAGCCGGGGTGTGGGAGACAGGACGGGGTGGGATCATCTCCGAGATGCCCCCCCTCACCTCTCCCCGTTTCCCTCCCCCAGCATGTTTCAGACCTTGTACAGCTATTTTTGGTGGGAACGGCTCTGGCTCCCGGCAAACCTCACCTGGGCTGACCTGGAGGACCGGGATGGGCGAGTCTATGCCAAAGCCTCTGACCTGTACATCACCCTCCCCTTGGCCTTCCTCTTCCTCGTTGTCCGGCACCTCTTTGAGACGTGAGTCCCTTCCTTGGGGGTGGGGATGGATTCTGAGCCCCTGGTCCGGCTCTTCCCGTGCCCTGGGGGCTGTGGCCGATCCCTGGGATGTGGCACCTTGTGCTCAGCCTAGGTGGGGGTGCCCATGGCACCCCGGGGGTCCCGACCCCCTCCCACAAGCCCACGTGCTCCCCCTTCCCCACACAAACACGGCGTTCAGGGAGCGATTTGTTGGACAAACAATGGGAACAGACCCGGCTTTGTTGGGAGGGTGAGAGGAGGGGGGGGCCACCCTTCAGCAGAGAGGGGACAGCCCGTGACAGAGGGACCGGGGGCTGCCCTGTGGCAAAAGCCACCCTGCAAGCAGGCACAGCAGGATGGGGAGTGGGGCACTGAGTGGCTGTGGGTTTCTGGGTGGCTTTGATGGCACCAAATCATCCAGGTGACAGAAATGGGGACGTTTATGTCCCCAACTCCTTCCCCAGGTACGTGGCCACCCCCTTGGCCGGGCTCCTGAATGTCAAGGAGAAGGTTCGGTTAAAAGCCACCCCCAATGCGGTGCTGGAGAAGTTTTATGCTGCCACCTCCAAACACCCCAAGCAGGTGAGGGCTGGGGGAATCCCCACAGGTGCCTGGGGGGGGTGAGGGTGGCAGGGCCAGCGCTGTGTGACACGGTGGGGCTGTCCTGGTGTCCCCAGGCCGACGTGGAGATGCTCTCCAAGAAGAGCGGCTGCACCGTGCGCCAGGTCGAGCGCTGGTTCCGCCGCCGCCGCAACCAGGACCGGCCCAGCCTGCTCAAGAAATTCCGGGAGGCCAGGTGAGACCCCCGCTGTGCCTGATGTCACCATCCCTCCACCCTGGTGGGCTTTGGGAGCCCCAGCCTGGCCGGGAGCTGCCTGGGAGGGTGGGAGCTGCGGGATCTGGGGCCAGTGGGTCCGTCCTCCTCCCTCCTGCTCCCCTGGTGCCCGTCTGAGGACCGTCTGCTTCCTTTTTCCAGTTGGAGATTCACCTTTTACCTTATTGCTTTCATTGCTGGCATGGCTGTCATAGTGGATGTGAGTATTTCCCCAGCCCCGTGCTCCCCTGGCCTCCCTGGCCCCTCTGACTCCTTTGTTTCCCCCTCCCCATCCCACAGAAACCCTGGTTCTACGACCTCCGGGAGGTGTGGAAGGGATACCCCATCCAGGTGAGCATGGATCCTGTCCTGGCTGCCATCCCGCGGCTTTTCCTGAGCACCAGGATCAGCAGTGGGGGCTGGGGGTTTGGGGGTCCCTAGGACACCCGGATGGTGCCCACAGAAGGGGACCAAACCCTTCAGGGGGACACAGAGGACCCCCCCCTAACCTGTCCCTTGTCCCCAGAGCATGCTGCCCTCCCAGTACTGGTACTACATGATCGAGCTCTCCTTCTACTGGTCCCTGCTCTTCAGCATCGCCTCCGACGTCAAGCGCAAGGTGGGGGCTCTGGGGGGCGTGGGAGACCCTGGGACACCTTGGCTGGGTTTTCTTCACCCTCGTGGGGCGGAGGGACCAGCTGGGAGGATGTGGGGACACAGAGGGGCTGTGGGATGGGGGGTTTGCTGTGGGGCTGCTGTAACCCCCCCCATTGCCAGGCTCCCCTTTGCTTTGGGCACAGGACTTCAAAGAACAAATCATCCACCACGTGGCCACCATCATCCTCATCAGCTTCTCCTGGTTCGCCAACTACATCCGTGCCGGGACGCTCATCATGGCCCTGCACGACTCCTCGGATTACCTGCTGGAGGTCGGTGTCACCAGCCTGTTCCCCTGTTGTCACCACGTCCCCCATCCTGTGCCCCCCTCCCCAGCTCACCCCCTGTGCCCCCTCCCCAGTCTGCCAAGATGTTCAACTACGCCGGATGGAGAAACACCTGCAACAACATCTTCATCGTCTTCGCTGCCGTCTTCATCATCACCCGCCTGGTCATCCTGCCCTTCTGGTGAGCTCTGGGGGGAACGGGGGGAAACTGAGGCAGGGGTCTGGGGAGACTCGCGGGGGGTGGGAGGCTGGTTCTGCCCGTGACAGGAGTGGCTTTTTTTCCTGGCAGGATCATGCACTGCACGGTGTTTTATCCGCTGGATCTCTACCCCGCCTTCTTTGGATATTACTTCTTCAACTTCATGATGGTGGTGCTGCAGTCGCTGCACATCTTCTGGGCCTACCTCATCATCCGCATGGCCCAGAAGTTCATAACTGGAAAGGTGAGAGGGGACCTGGGCCCATGGGGGCGAGGACCCACTCGGGATGGGGTCACATCCTGAACCCCAACTGCCCTTGGCTCTCCGGATCCCCTCAGTGGGGAGAAACGACTGTGGTTGTAACGGGGAAACTGAGGCACGGCAGGAGAGTGGGGGGGGAGTGTGGGAGAGTGACTGAAGTCCCTTTTCCCTCTGCCCACAGGTAGTGGAGGATGAGCGGAGTGACCGTGAGGA